ATACTTTGCACTATTGCCCAAGCAGCCTGAAACAGAGCATCTCTCCATATCTGGTACCCCTGGACTCAGAACTGCTGTTCTTCACAACTCCCATAGCTGATAGAGCCCTGCAGCACAGAGTGGTTCTGAATTATTTGCTGCACAATTAGAAACAGAGTAATACAACTACCTGGTCTATGGTTAAGTAAAAAAAAAAAAAAAACAAGACTGTGATTCTAAAATAGACACTAGAGGATATCATGCATCATCATTTTCCAATATAGTCTGAAACAAATCTTAACACAGGAGAATTTTTTTTTTTTAATTTACTGGTAAAATTAGGTTCTGATGGGTATTGAAGGAGTAAGTTCTAGGACAAGAGCCCCTATACATGGATACAGTCTCTGAGAGGGCTCAGATTAGGATGCCCAATAATGAGATATTACTTTGCTCTGGTCCCATGGGTGAAGGCAGAAATCCTCAGACTCTGCACATGTCTTTGATGAGGACTCACTCAAATCAATAGCACTGAATCTGCCTCACTTCTGCATTAACTGAATTTCCTAGTCCTCCTCTGATTTGGCTGAAGAAGCCCATCCACAGAAGATACAAAGGAAATCCTCCTCTTTCTACATAATGAAAGATTCTTACCTAGAGTTGCCTGAGAAGGCAGGCACACACCTCTTTCACATCTCTTACATGGAAAATAGGCCCAACCCTCAATAGAGTCACAAATGACAAATCAGAAACTCCCTGATTTATCTTTGACCTCTGCTATGATGTAGAAGTTAAGAGACTTAGAGAGATTGAGAAAGACAGAAGTAGACAGCCAGGCTTTTCTTTCTAGTTTGTCTTAGTTTAAAACTTCTGCAAACCTACCCACCCTGGGTGTCATTTGAAATACCAGTGGTATAATTTCCAGCATCATAATACCATGCAAGCCACCACAGCAGGACAAATTGATAAATGAGTGGTGATGACAAGGTTTTATCCTTTTACATTATTTATTCAATCTGTATGCTAAGCAAATAATCCAAGAGGCTAGACTATATGAAGAAGAACACAGCATCAGAACTGGATGTAGACTCATTAACAACTTTCAGTATGCAAATGATACAACATTATTATCAAAAAATTAAGATGACCTGAAATACTTCCTGATGAAGGTCAAAGACAACATTCTTCCATATGAATTATTCCTAGACATAAAGAAAACAAAAACCTTCACAAATGGGATTAACAACATCCTGATAAATGGAGGGGTTAAAAATGAAGCCAACAAGGGAGAAGAGCAGAGAGCTGGACCTACCCAGAAAAGCAGTGACGCCAGAGATGGAGGCAGAGATGATGACGTGGAGAGATGGAGCAGCTTGGGACTTTAGACACAGAGAGGGAGAGGGGTTGTGTGCTGACCACTGGGGGCAGGGGCAGGCTTGTAGAGTATACCCTTTGGTTGGTTGATGATGCATGGAGGGGATTGTAACCATGGCAATGAAACGATATACGATTGGAGGAATGTAAAACTTATGTTCTCCCATGTAAACTATCACATAATCCACAATAAAACATTAAAAATAAATAAATGAAGTCAAGTTTCATTCCACTTGGATCAATATTCAATGTCCATGGAAGCAACAGTCAAGAAATCAAATAAAGTATTGCAATTGAGGGAATATATACTGCAAAATACCTCTTTAAGGTTTTAAAAAGCAAAGATGTCACTTTGATAACTAATGTACATCTGGTCCAGGTCATGGTCTTTTCAGTTGCTTCATATACATGTAGAAGTCGGACAATGAAAAAGGAAGACAAAAAAATTGGGTTCTAATTGTGGTATTGGTGAAGAATATGGAATATACCTTGGATATCCAGAAAATCAAACAAACCAGTCTTAAAAGAAATACAATCAGAATGCACCTTCCATGTGAGATAGCAAGACTTTACCTCACTTACTTTAGTCACATCAATCAGGAAAAA